GGGCCCCCGGCCGAACTATACACCAACTTATGCGAGAACATGGCCTTTCTATAAGACTGGGGGGGATGTTTTTTTTTACTTATATTATAGGATTAAACCTTAAAGATCAACATTTTCGATTAAGTTGGTTTCATTTTAAAAAAGAGGTATGATTATTTTAAGCCCATTCCGCCATTTTTGCATCACGCCACCAAAAAATAAGGCCCCAGCGCCACCCAACATCCCGGATGCAAAATAAAATCCAAAATATGGGCGTTGATATGTTTATTTTTATAACGAATATGTTTCTTATGTTGTTCTGAAGATATAAATGGTTAAAATAAAAGGTTGGGCTGTTTATAATCGACGGTGCATGTTTTTCATTTTGGGGGGTAAAAATCAAAAAAAAAATCAAAATCAATATTTTTATCCTGGGATTTAAAAAAAAAATATACATTTTTATTTTACCGTTTTTTTTCCATAATTATAAACCAAAAATACCATAATAATTAAAAATATATTCAGCTTTTTCATTTATTTTGATAACTTTATGAAAATTATTCAATTCATTTCTAGTTTTCTCGAATTTATGAAGCGTTTTTTTCCAAAGATTTAACCATCACGAACCTTTAATTTTTTTATTACTTAAATCAAATGGTTCGTGAATTTTATATTTCCAGCCAAAACATATATATGGGCGTCGGGCTTCCTCTAAAAATTATTTTGAAATGATAAAATTTAGATCTCCCAGATGTGTTTTTTGAAGGCGGAATTTAAAATCAATTATCTTAATTTTATTGCTATCTTTCCTAAGTTTTTAATAAGCAAAAGGGTCTCATACATCAAAACTTATAAATAAAATATATGATTTGAAACGGGGAAATGATGATTTTAAAGCGAACCTCGCCCCAAACTAACAATATCCTATTTCAAATATTTATTAAAATGGGGCGGGTTCCCGTTATAACATATTGAAGGATTCTTTGCGATGGCTTATTTTTCTTAATTTTTATTTCAGAACATTCTTTATATAAGGATTGTTGTGATAATTTCTTTTTTTAACAATTTTAGTTTTTTTTTAATATTTTCACGTTTTTTTATCATGTTGTGGGGGATGGGGGGTGACATTCTCTTGATCCCCCCCCCCCCGGCCCGGCCAATACACCCAAAAAACTTTTAGCGCTTTCCAAACAAAACGGCTAAATATTCTGAATATCAATAATACTTTTCTATCTGTAAAATACAACTTTTACGCCCAAGGATGGTTTTAATGGGTGTATTTTAATTCGCGTTTCGTGCATTCCAGGGCGCCCCCTTGATTCATATGAACGCTTCCACGGCATGGGAAAGGTGTTTTGTGGCCAAAACCTGAAAATTTTGGCACTGAGTAATAATAATAATTAGTTAGAATTCTAAAAAAAGGTATGATACTTCTCATTTTAAGAGGCTTATTTTTAAAATATTATAAATATGTGTTGGGTTCCGAAATTCCAATTTGACCTTCAGAAATCCCCCCCCCCCCGTCGAAAAAAAAAATTCCAGCCATATCATGGCCCATCCTTCATCTGATTCACTTTATTCAACCCCAAAAAGATTTATCAAAAGTTGGAAATAGATAATGCCTTTTAAGGTAAAGGAACAAGTCCCAATCCATTTTGATGTTTACCTGAAACTCAAAAAAAGTTCTA